AAAGTCGCTTGGACTTCTGAGTTTAGCGATGAAAAAATGGGCTCAACTGGGTCGCTCCAGCGTCTTCCCACTGCAACGGACAGTTGACACGGAGTCTGTGAGACAGGAAATGGTGGGCCGATGGTTGAAATCGGGTGGAGCTTAAAGAGAACCCACCGGGCGGGTGTGGGCAAAGGCAGAATTGGCTTGTGCAAGACAGAGCCGTGCCTATGAGAGACAAAGTAAAAAACGATTTTGGATTCAGGAGCAACGGGAATAAGAGTTTCCCCGTTTGCCTATTCAGGATGTGAAGTGAATGCAGGCAATTCAGACTCACTTCTCTTTCCAGATTACCGCCGTCCGGCAAAGGGAGGGGTGTCTACCAGGAAGAACTATGGTTTATCCGATCCGCTTTAATGGGAATAAACGAAGCAATAACGAGAGCACCAACTCTCGACGGAATGTCAACCAATGGAGAAAAGGTAGGCGTATGGACTAGGCAACCACGGAACGAATGTGTGTCATAGTCGGTGCGCAATAGCTCTTCGTCACGACGGCGGGACTTGCACCTCACAGGCCGACACATGTTCTCCTCCTTCCAACGTCGTCACTATGAGCCTTCTTCGCCTCGAAACTCGGCCAAGGCAAATGCGTGTGATACTGTGACAGCCGGACTGCTTGCCCATCGGCAAGTACTGGGCTTGAGTCCCGCTCTACACTCTTCTTAGCGCAACGTGTCAAACCGGCTATCGAACGGGGGGGTACCAAAAGAGTTTGGGTCGAAAAAAGGAAAAAAATTAAGTACGTGTACGGCAAAATTCCATCAGAAAAGGGCTTTGATACTACTTGCTTTTTATGCAGATATATGAAGCAAGGCTAAGTGTCGCATTCAAATTAAGTTTGCCAGGATGATGCATCTCGGACTTTTGGGCATGAAGTTAAATTCACAAATGCAAATGCCATTCAAGAATCCATCACCCCCTCGTTTAAAAACGAAATAAATGGTCAAACAGCATACGTTTAGTAGAATTTGAGGAGGAGAACCTACCGGTTTTTTGGCTCCTTAAGGTCCGTTGAAGCAAAAATACATCTTTTATGCTTAACTATAAGGAGAGACTTCAAGAAACCGTTACAAAATGACGTAATTTGATTATAGCTAGAACCAGATTTGGACAAACACCGTCCATGCTTTTAGCTCGGAGAAGCTCGTGTAGTTACAATCAATGGAGATATGCTAAATGATATAGAATTCCGTCAGGTTTAAAAAACCATTGTAAAAACTTGAGAATGTGGATAT